TATTGACTGACTAATGATTAATTGTTCGGCTACTATTTTTTTAAGAAACATTTTATTTTTGCATGAAGAGAATCTTTCTGTAACATGAAACGCAACATGTTTTTTTTTTTTTACAAAACTGAAGAAAAACAAAGAATCACATCATTACATTTGAACAATTTATTTTGCAACCTCTATTACATACTGACTGAATAAACAAAAGAGTTTCCTTTTTTAAAACATGATTAAAAATGAAACGTATTACCTAACAGTTTAAAATAATCCCAGGATGCACACGGTTTGGAGTGTTTCACTGGCGTGGCTCCAGCATGATCAATTATCTTAATTTCTCTGGCTTCAATTAAGATCTACAGCGCCCTCTTCTGGATGGTGGTCACAATTTATCACTGAAAGAATATCAGTCTTAAGCAGACACTATTAGTTAGTCAGATTGATTTAATTTCAATCTGATTAACAATTACTCAATAAGTAAGTTGATTGGTTGTTTAAATCCCAAATCAACACAAAGTGGTGAATAATTATAAAGAAAAAAGAGACTTATTTTTTCTTAACATACATTTTCTTTCAGCCTTTTTTCACCTGAATACCCCTAACTAAAAGCCAGTGTAACCAAGTACCTTCTGTTCTCTTTGTCCTTTGCATTTTTTTTAGAAGACATTGTTGAGCAAACATCATGAATGTCGAGGAACCTTGAGAAGTTTAAAGCAGAGTTAGATGAGAAAAGGTTATCACAAGCTTTAAACACGTCACAGAACTCTGTTCAGTCAATCATCAGATAAACTCGAAGAGTATGGAAAAGCATATTTGCGTTCACTACGACACACACGCAGACGACCTGGTTTCTGAGCATAAATCAGCCTTGAGGTGACTCTGGAGGAGCTGCAGACATCCACGACTCAGACAGAGGATGTGCTCACTGGGTTTCCATTTAAGCTCAAACTCAACACTAATCTTGACATTTTAAATTGAAAACACTTCCTGGATGGGAAGCGAAACGTCTTCAACCTTTTTTAATAAAAAAAAAAATTCTAATTCAGTCTTCAAGTTACACCTTTATGGTTTACACATCCTAAACACATCACTGTGGTGAAACATGGTGGTAAAACCATCATGCTGTGGGCTAGAGCTAAATCACAAGCTTCAGACTGATGCAGAGATTCTATCTCCATCAGAAGAACCCAGAACAGCCTGAGCTGTTAAAACGAGTTAGACCAATATTTATTCATATGTTAGAATGAAAACCTTGGCAGGAGCGTTTCCATCCAGTCTGACTGAAAAGGAAAATGCAGTCCAGCTTTGGAAAAATCCTTAGGCTGTTATGGCAACAAAAGCTTCGTCTGGAAATTATTGACTCAGGGTCCAAATTCAAGTGCGTGCCTCAGTTCTGGGATTCTTTAAAAAAAGGGTTTTTAAAACCAAGCATCCTTTCTTTTCCTCTTCACAACTGAGAGCTGCTCTTGAATTATCTCATAAAAATCCCAACAAAATAAGCTGAAATTGTAGTTTCATGATAAGAAAATGTGTAAAAGTGAATGTGTTGATAGTGCTTAAAGCCTCCGTAGAAAATAAACCCTGCACAACTACATCAGCCTCAGAATAAAAATAGGCAATCAGAGTTTAGATTGCAGCGTCCCGGTCAATAAAGCTTTCTCTGCCTCCTCCTCCACCTCCTCCTGCTACTCAATATTTAATTCATCCTGATTTCCTTCCTTCTGCCCAACACGTTGTTTGCTGTATGAAAGGAAGCCCTACGCTGGGCTCTGCCTGTCAGACACACCCTTTGGTGGCCTCATACAGGCCGCTGCACGCTCCTCTGATCACAAGCCTTAACAAGTGCACACATCCAAGGAAGTCGGAAGCCCAACCAATACATTTCTACTGCTTTTATCTCTTTAAACTGATTCCTTGGTCCCTTTTCTATCAATAGCTTGCATTAAACAGTTGATCGGCGCATTGGTTTCCAGCTCATTGCTTGTCTGGATTGTGCAACATCCTCTATCTGCTGAGCTCAGACCCCAGAAGCTGTCCGTTCCTGAGATTGGCTGCCTGTTTACTGCTGGTGCGGTCATCACTGCTGCAGAGCAGCGAGCTGTCAGGCTATAGGATTAGAGGGAGTGCTTCTTCATATTGCGGCATCTTGGTTACTCCAGCTAATTAAAAACGCCGTCGGCAGACGGAGTGTCTCCGGGCGTCAGCCAGCCCAGATGCAGCTCAGGGCAACCACCGGTTCACGCCGTTACTGTGAGATCTTTAAGAATGGAGCAGAATTTCATTCTTTATGTACTGAACACACTGGATATATTTAATCAATTTTCCATATCTGTGAGCTGAAACTTATATTTATGGTGTAGATTATAACAGAAATGCGTTTATTGACTCAGTGACGGCACTTAGCCTTTGTTACATCTCTCCTGCTGTTGAGTTCACATAATAATGGATGTTCTCTTCCCAATTTGACTGTTATAAAGTAGTGATGCACTGATAAATGTTTTGTGGCCAATCCATTAACTTTAAAAAGCTTCACCTGGCGATATGTTTTCTGTTGTTTTTTTTTTTTAACCAACATTGTCATGTATTGTAGAGTAACAATTCACCTCAGTGTTCCCATTATTTTATATTGAAAAGCAATAAACAATAACCCTAAGCAGGATTTCCAAGTTTTACCGATGAAGCTGTCTTACTGCATTGGCAGATTATTGATTAGAGTTTCAAAAGATCAATAATCTAACAGTCTGTTTGAACAGAATCTTAAAACAAGATCAAAACGAATTTCTGCCTAGATATAAGAATTGGTAGACTTGGTTAGATGGACAATTTTTCACAGTGGGATTTTCAGAGTTTTGCAAAGGTAGATGAGATCGGTTAAATCCACCGATCACCAGAAAGGAAGGAAAGTGGACGAATCGATTGATGATTTCTTGTGTTTAAGATCTGTGTATGCACCCTGATGCTCTATCTCTCTAGTTCTTTTCCCTGTACAGAGATCACTCAGGACAACCTCATTATATAGCACTTCACAACATATATGTATTAAATAACCAGGAGACATGACAACATATTCTGATAGAAATTGTAATCTTACTTAGATCAGAGAAATTGCTTACCTCCGGGCTCACCTCTCAGGCAGTTGCCCCGATTAACAGTTAAAAAGTCATTTTATTCATCTTCAGTCTGCCACATCATCTTATTTTGCATCACACACGTTAGCGGATGACTAGAAATCCATGGCTCCAGCCTTATCAAATATTACACTTCGTTCTTAGCTGAAGGACACCGCTTTCATTCCATTCCTAAATATTTTACACGTACAGAATGAAGACTATAAATGTATATACAGACAGAGGAACTGTCTTAATTAGATTAAAACACCAGTTCTGACACACAACAGGCAGCCAATACCAAGATGTGATAAATTCACACATCTTCAATGATAATTATCCTAACATTTGCATGAGCAGCACCCTCGGTTAGCCCCTTTTTATTTAATGTAAGATTGCATTCTGTCAATTAAATTGGTCATTGTTTGGATTTGACCAATATTGGTTCCTTTTGATTTTTGATTCTGAAGGCAGCATCATCACCAGAATTTGGTCTGGATGAAAAAGTCTGAACTTTTCACTGTGTTTTAATTCCCCCACTATTTACCTTTGTTTCAACGTTACAAAAATGATCACATGGTTGATTCCAAACATTTATAAATATAAATCTTACTACTTTTCTTTTCCTGTTTGTTACACATATCTAGTGTTTAATGCTGCAGCTACTCATGCTGAATATTTATTATTTCATTTACCTGATTCTAACTGCGGTGCAGCGCTGAAGGTAAAAGCAGCCAGTTTGCAAAGGAAGGTCTCATAATGACGTAGATTTTATTTCACTTATTGGGTTTCTTCATATGAAACACATCCTAGTTAAAATTAAATAAACAAGGAATAATAACAATTTCTCTAAGTTGGTCATAATGCCAAGAAGTCTTTACAAATGAATTTTTTGTGTCTTATTTTTTTTTATTCAGTCACTTATTCTTTAGGAAACATGTTTGCTCACTGTGGTACACCCCACCATCATGCTGCCCTGAGCAGAAAGCCATGTTTGTCTTTTTCAGACAATTAAACCTAAATAAATGCTTTTTTAGACGGGAAAAGGAAATGTCCAACCTGCTGTCTGAACCTAATGTGGTCTGTCATCTAGAAAAATCTCGCCAAAACTCCATGGTGACCAGACCCCGTTCTCCTAATCTGAGAGCAGACGGCTCTGAAATCAAGTTTCTGCTGCAGAAAGAAAACAATCGTCTCCTCAGCTTTCTATATTTATCAGTGTGATTGTGTAACACAATGTTGAACCTTTACTGATAAAACAAGATTGTCTGAGTTTTGAAAGGTTTTGTTACCTTTTTCCATTATTTATCTAGCTTTTTTTTATTTATTTCTTTCTGGTAAATCTGTTTCTTATGCGACAAAGACGTCCTTGGGCGTGAGAAATGATTTTAGTCTTGTAGTCACGCACTCTCCCCACACATCAAACGTACAACGACTCGCCGGTAAATTAGTTTGCTATAATCTGCAGCACATCCAGCTGCAGACGGAAAACACATTTAGCATGCGGGATTATTCTCTGCTTTAAAAGGAAGAGTGAAAATAGTAGAAATTAGGATTTTGTCAGGCTATAGCAGCAGCTTTGAGGGCGTCGCAGACGGTTAACGTGCTGCACTATTTTTCTCCTCACCTCCATCCACCTCGAAAACATTCTTCGTATCTGAAACTGTGTATCACATTTTGTGAGTCTTAATAATAGATGGGTGCGCTTTAAATATTTCATGGTAGGCTGACTGAAAACACATGCCTGTTGGAGATATGGTGGTAGAGCGAGGGGGGGGCGAGGTTAGAGGGATAGAGAGAGAGTGAAATTTGATCGGAAGAATTTTACCTTTCTTCGGTTTGGTCTCTGTTCTGTAGCAGAATAAATCTTAATTTGTCTCCACCCCATTCCTGATCCCACAGGGCTCCCAGGACTCCACCGGAGGACAGGAGGGTCTAGTGGCCCCACCCTTTACAACCTTCCCTCCTCCACCCCCTCCTCAAAACGGCCTGACTGGAACAGAGTTTGGCCCGGGGGGCATGTTTGGTGCTGCTGGTCAGGCCACAGCAGAGGTCGGAGCCGGCGGTAACGGAGCAACGAACGCACCCAACAGCAACAATGTAAGGACTCCTGTTTTATTATGTGAGGCTCTATAGGCGCCTCCTGCTGCAGGGACATCTAAAAAAGAAAAAGGGCTTCATTTCAGGAAGATAAAACCACTTTTATTCTATAGATTCATTACAGATAGAGTGAAATATTTTAAGGTGAGGTTATGCCTTACAGAGAATGAAATCCATAAATATGGCGTCTCAGAAAATGTAAATATTACACAATAGCAATTTTATGGCGTATATGTCATAAAGAGGGTCACTGTAGCCCCAATAGGTCATTGATGCGAAGCTGGCTGCTGCATCCAAGCATATATCTACAAAGTTGAGTGGAAGGAAAAAGTGTGAAACGGAGGATATACTATTAGTTTAACTTTATAGAATAAGTGCCCAAATACTGGACTTTAAGATTTCCTAATTATCTAAAACGAACTTGCATACTTTGATCTTTTAAGCACAGTTTGCATTTATTTAAACTTGCGTGCGTCTGCTGATTCATTAGTGCATTCAGCCATCCTTTAAGATAAAAAAATGCACATGCACTGCTGCTCCCTCCATCTGCTGTACAATGTTGTTGTTTTTTAAAAATTATTTTTGTTTAAATTGAGGCTTGTCTAACATTTGGACTTAAAAAATGCGTATCGGCCGATCTTAAACTTTAACACGTGAATATGCTTTTATCTGAACTCTTCCTGGAGGACCTCCTCTATCCAAGCTCAGATCTCAGAAGTTTTTCCTCTTGTTTAGCTCCATCCATCTCCTCCTAAGTCAGATCAGCTTCCCTCTCCTTGCTGACAAACATCCCCCTAGCATGACGCCTCTAAAACTGTGCCTCGCCAGGGGAAAGGGAATGATGTGTTCAGGGAAATGTCCAGTTTTATCTTTCTACAAGATCAAATTGTGACCAGAGCACCACTGTTAGCCTGTTAGCCTAACCCCCACCACTTTTTCCAGGTTATGAAAAAGACTTTATTAAAAAATGCCAGATTTTTATAGTGGATGACTGATAGTTGTCCTGTTGTCAGACCACCACCCGAGCTGTGGATCTCTGCAGCTCCCCCAGAGTTACTATCTGCTTCTTGGCCATATATCTCATTAACAATCTCCTTTCCTGGCTTGTCAGATTAGGTGGAAGGCCGTACCTTGGTAGGTTAAATTAAAGTCTAGTTTTATAGCAGTCAAAATAATTAAATTACCGATTTGTCTGATTATCCAGTCAGACCAGTATCAGTTTGTCCACTCCTCTTTCAAACTGCTGCAGTGAGGATCTTCTTTTTATTGCTAAAGAATCCCCAAATCTAATAACAATCCCATCAGCCTGAGCTGCGTTTGGCTTTATTGATATAAAACAGCTTTTAGAACGCGAACAACAGATGACAGTAACACGGTAAAAGAGGTTCAGGTTACAGCAGCATCATATTTCCCAGCATATTAACATGAAGGCACCAGCAAATGGCTCGGAGCTCAGATCCTTCGTCTCCTAAAGCTGCAGATCTAGCAGAGAGCTCTCTCCATGTCCACAGGAGGAATCTAATCCTTTTCTATTCAGCCATACTAGAATTTTCTATTCCAATCTGTCCGGCTGTCTGTGCGTAGCATCATTTACGAGGCTGGCAGTTTAGATCACAGCGGCGTTCGTTTGCTGCCTTTTTATTTTACAGGAATTCAAGCTTTGTGAAATGTGTTTATGTAGCGTGCTGTATGCACACGCAGATAGAGATCCAAAGCAGCTCCAGGGGTTTTGCCGCGCTTCAGTGTCGAAATTGTTTACTGGTAAAATAAACACGCCGTTCACGCTCGATGGTTTAAAGATTATCAGTTCCTTGAGATGTTAAACAAGATGTTGGCCGGTGAATGAGAAGAGCTCCATCTCCACTGAGATACGGGCTCTTTCCAACTTATTCACACTTAGTGAACTATTTTGTTACGCTTCAGTCACAAACCTCGGTGGATGTCATTGGCGTTCAGGAAGGAAATCGATGCTGTTTCGCTTTTTTTTTACATGTTATATTAAGCCAGTTTAGCAGTACAGTCAATAGCTTTAGAAGCCATCTTATTATTTGAGTAATATTTTAGCATTTTTTCACGAAACTAATGGCATCATGCAGCCCAACGAATGCAGAACTGCTTTAGAAATGGAGAGAGCACCTTTCTGCCAGATAAGGAGGACATTAATCACAGAAGCAGAAAAAGAGGCGAGTAACTCTGGTGAAGCTGCAGAGATTGGCAGCTCGTGTGGGAGAATTCAACTCCAAAAATCTGACCTTTTTAAGGCCATTGTTGAAAGCAGAGCATTAAGAGTTCACTATAAATCATGTGGGTGAACGTTCTCTGGTCGGTTAAGCTTAAAATTGTTCATATCACTGATAGATTCATGTTTAACACAGTTTCTTTTCTTTTTATTCAACTATGAGTTTTTTTACCGATAAGAATTGGGAATGTGTGTCAAAAGGATAATAAACAAATGAAACATGCCAAAAAAATATATATATACCCTTGTTTGATCATCATTTTTTGAGGAGCCACAGGAATCTCTAACGGATTTAAGTCTGTATGGTGGCTGGTTGTTATGGCTCTCAGTTAGGGACAAAAAAACAAAACATGGTGATATTGAAATCAGATTTTATATCTAAATATGTCAGAAGTTTTCATTAGACTGCATTTATTAGAAATATGCCTTCAAGTAATCTTTATTTTGCTATCAATTATATTTTCAATTAATAACCAGATAGTAAATGTTTTCTTATAGAACTTTTTACATTTTTTTACGTGATTTAAACCTAAACTAAACTGAAGCTATTCCAGTTTGGGAGTTCTGGATGGATCATATTGATGGACAAACAAAAGTGTTTCATCATAAATTCAATATATATTTCTGTTTTTTATGATTTTGTTAAATAATTACTGCTTTGATTGGGTCACTCTGTCAGCTAAAAGTCTCTATTCTCTATGATTAAACAATTACTGAGTTCGCTGACGAGTATTTCTATATTCAATTTCTTGTTTCAGCCCTAATTGATTGTAATCCTAAAGGGAGACATGGTGATGGCAGCATCATGATGTGGTTTGGACGTTTTGTTTAGCAGAGAGGAAAAAGCATCAGAGCTGATGGTGGGGATGATATGATGATTAATCCTGGAAGTTCCAGGGTTAAGCTTCATATCATGTCTTCAGCCTCTCTGACTCAGTTCCAGCCTGGAACCGAGTCAGAGAGGCTGAAGACGAAGAAATCTCAGTTTTCAGATGTTTAAAAAAAAAAAAAAAGAAAAATTAAGTTTTATTACCTCACATTTCTTTGTGTTTTGAATTCCAACAATACTTCTCTCATCATCCTCAGGGAAAGACAGAGGAGACGTCCCAGGGTGAGGCGGGGGCGCAGTGTTCGGCAGGAGGTACAGGAGCAGGAGGTTCCGCAGGAGACTCTGGAGAGGCCAAAGGGACTCCCAAACGCCTCCACGTCTCAAACATCCCTTTCCGCTTCCGGGACCCAGACCTCAGGCAGATGTTTGGGGTAAGTATCTCAGAATGGTTGGGGGAGGGGGCCCATTTTACACAGGATCAATAAATCAGTCTAGATGCATGAAGTACTGCAGCAAAAGCCCTGCTTTTTAAGGGATGGGCTGAGGCCGGGTCAGAGTAAATGGGACACAGCCATGGGGGTCATATTAATGCATGCAGAGGGGAACGTTTCTAACGGTGTCACTGTGTTAGCATTAAACTGAGGAGAAAAAGTGCAAATCTAAGCATCAGATAGATAGCTCATTTAATGCTGAAACTAGTCTTTGGTGTAACAGTGACCCCTAGTGTGCACTAGCTGAAAGTTTTGCAACACCATATATTTATATTTTTGCTAAATTCTGCTTCTGTTGTTTTTCCAGCAATTCGGGAAGATTCTGGATGTAGAGATTATTTTCAATGAGAGGGGTTCAAAGGTAAGTTTGAATTAATAAACTTGATTCTTAGAAAGGACACAAGTTTTACGGTGAGATCAGAGCGATTATGTAAACACAACCAAAAAAGCTTCACTCAAAGCGCTGCTGATCGACAGGTCTTCTGTAGCTGTGAGATTCTCACTGTATGAAAACACAGTTTCACAGTAAAAATAAATAACATTAACCCTTTATAGGGCAAGTTAGCGTTCCGTCTCTCAGTGGGGTCTAGAAGCATAAGATCTAAATCCAGCCTTTCAGCAAAGATGCTGTACATCTTATTTTGGCATTTGACAGATTAGATGAGCCTTTGAATGATGTATTATCTACTCTAATAAAAAAAAAAAAAAAAAAGTTAACAAGCCAAGAAAAAAAAAGTTAAAAAACTAATTGAAAAAGTAAAGTTAAAAGTTTAATAAGCCTCGTTAACAATTATATTTAGGTTTATAAACTAATGAATCTAAGTGCCAGTATCAACATTAATGCCTCTAAGGTTATTATTTTTTTATTTCTCTCTCAGTGTTTTTCACAAATTTCTTATAGAAGGAATTTTGTTATTTTTCTTAATATATTTGAGTAAGTTGGCATTTCTTGTTATTACATTGACATTAATTTTTGCCATCAAAATGTCCATAATTTTTTTATGTTTCAAAGGTAATAAGGTCTTGTCCTGAATTCCAATAACACTGTTGCCTTAAAATGTGGATTTTCAAAGTATTTCACTGATTGTCCTATGAAGGGTTAATAATAAAAGGTGTAACATGGTCCGACAGTTTTTTAAATAAGACCGATAAATATCAGAAAGAGAAGGAGAGATTGTTCCTTTGTGCTGATTGATCTATGGTCAAACTATCCCCATGCCATGAAATATTTATCACAACGATGCTAGTATTGATTATATTTACAGCTGCATCTTAACAAATGACAATGTTAATTAAAATGACTGAATAAATTTTCTTTTCTTTTCATTTTTAAAGAGAGAATTGTTTAGTTCAGGCCAATGAATCATAAAGAAAACAGGAAAGTCATTGTGAGCTGTTGGTGATGAGGTTTCAGTTTATTGAGGGCTCTAGCGGAGGAAAGTTTAGCGGAAGGAAAAAAGAGCAAAGATGGCAAGATTCAAAAGTTAAGCCTACTTTTAAAATGCTTTTTGATTGATTTACAGGTTGTTCAGATAAAAGTAATTTCACATTTTAATTGGAAATCAAGACCCCAAAGATTAAAGGAAGTCTGGAAATCTCCCTAATTTAGGCTCCTCTGAGATCCAATGGGAAGTTTGGTGATGATTTGCTGCAACATTTAACCTGCTGGTGTTGTTCCAGCAGTTTTTTCCAAATTGATCACAGCAGAAATTTTAGACCTCTATGCTTCCAGATGCTGTGAAGCTTTTATAGCTGGTTCTTTTTTGTTGAAACGACTAAAACCACCAACACCTGATCCTGGTAGAGTCTTTGGAACCCCAGCTCAATACAGAGAGCCTGTATGCTGCTGCTGCTGCAGCAGAGTGTGCTTTAGTGATAGCTGCAGCACTGCCACAGTAATGCAGTAAATCATGCTGATGGATTCAGATAGAGCACAGCCTTTTAGTTAGCCCAATTTCTATATTAACGCATAAATACTTCATCATAATAAATGTATATTTGTAGCCAATGAGGTACTTAAAGTTGACAAAGAAACTCAATTTGGGGCTTTTCATTCCTTCCAAGATGCAAAAATCTAATTTGTGAGAAATAATTGGTTGAAAGAAATTAGCGAATTAATTAAGTTAAGTTAAACATTTGGATTTGAATTCATTAAACACTTTAACTGTAATGATATTCAGTTTTGTTTTGTTTTTTTAGATACAACACGATTCATTGTTTTGAATAATGCAGTGTACAGTAATAGGTTGGGGAGGGGCCATGCTTTATTTCATACAGTACTAGTTCTCCAGCATTTTGGCGTTTAGACGATAAATCGTAAAGCAGGAGAAATGTTGCTGTGGAAATGATTGCGGTTGGCCTGGTCTCCTGCCACACATCACATCCTCATAATAACCCCCTCTCTGCTCTGGGCTGCAGGGTTTTGGCTTTGTGACATTTGAAAACAGCGCAGATGCAGAGAAAGCCAGGGAAAAGCTCCACGGCACGCAGGTGGAAGGGCGTAAGATCGAGGTAACTTCCCTCCCTTCCCTGCTCTGTATTCTCTCCGCTCTTCCATCATTACTGCCTGATCCCTGACTGCCTAGCTAGATTCATCCCTTCATCCCTGATGTGATACGCTCTGATGCAGCCTACTGGTATCCCACTTGCCCCAGTCCTCTGCAATCTTGTTTCCTTGTTTCTTTAAATCCAATGAGACTTCTTTTTCTTGATTTGTAATGTTTTTTATTTATTTTGAAATGTGCTGGGATTGATTTTTGGGGTTTGTGCAAGAACACGAGAGCCAAAGCATGCATGTGACCTGTCCTCTGCAGCCTTGTTTTCACATTAACCTGTCGGCCTTCCTTAGCTTTGTTTTTATTTTCCAGTGATGCTCACCTTGTAGCCACACTGATGTTACAATTTTTCATGCAACAGCTGGAATGATGTTTGTGTAGCTGCTACCGGAGGGCATGAGAGGAGCCCAGTGAAAGTGAAAGTATGATGCATGGCAGATTGCAGTCGGATGCTCTTATTTCTTTCTTTTTTTATTTTCATACTGTGGATTTACCTTGTATCCCTCTTTTTCTGGTGCTAATGGCTCCTGGTGCTACAGCAGCATGTTGGGATTAACAGCAACACACTGACGCATGTTCACTTTATGCAAAATCTGGATTTTTTTCCGATGATTTTTATTGTTTCTGTGTTTTGAGGTTGTTTATCCGTATCCAGTTCCACATATTTTGTGTTTATTGAAGCATGTGCTAAGTGTTGAATGCAGATTTCCCTTTCTAATTAGGGTTTCCAGTCAGGTTTCCATGTTTGATCCATTCGTTTTAAGCTGGGGGTGATTTTTCTGCATGGGCTTACTCCAGGGGATCTTCCCCTTGTGGTGTGTGCGGGCGTGTGAGAGTCACTTCCTGCATGATGGATGAGGCTGGATGCTTTTAGCTCTTTTTACTCTTCACATCCTGCTGCAGTATGGTTGTGAAAGAGAGACAGCCACCTGCATCCTGCGGTACAACATAATCCCCTCCACCTTCAGCCAATCAGCAATCACAGCTGGAGCCAGTCCACCCTGCATCAGTCTCACCCATGTTCAGAACCTGGACCCCGTCTTTTGTCTCCCTGGGCCTTAGTTTAACCCACAGGTTGTGCATGAGATCAGCGGGAAGCGTGTGTTTGCGTTTCAGTCGTCTCGTTGCATGCGTCCTGTCGTGCTGCAGCAGTGGTGATGGTCTGTAGCATCGTTGGGCATTGGCAGCATGGTGGGCCAGCAGCAGGAGTCTGCAGCGTGCGTCTCTTTCTGTCTGTTTATGGTGCATGAGCTTGCAGGATACAAAGAGTTGATGCTGGTCATAAACCAGTGTTTCTGCATTCTTCCAACCAGACAGAAAAGCTTTATATCTCAGGCAACATCCTTCTTCTCTTGCAGATGTTGCTGCATTTATTTCTCGCTTTGATTGGGTCCTGATTTCAAAGTTTATTAAAGGGTGTTTTAGATGTGCCAGTTCAAAACTCTGAAATTTAGATCTAGTTCCATTGTCTTGCAATAGTGTTCATACCCATGAGTGAACATTTTTGCAGAGCCACCTATTGTTGCTTCTCATCATATAAGGTCGGTTTCTAAGAGACGGAAAATCGTTGCTGCATCTTTTTTCTAAAACATGCTTTGATCTGATCCAGCCATTGATAACCATAACAGTCCGACCAAAAGAGCCTTCTCTGGCCTCATGACCACTGAAAAGATTTTGATCTAAGCTGTGAGATCCTTCGAAAAGAGATGACTCATAAATTTCTCAAAGCTCCTTCAGTATCAATTTTTTATAGCAATTTTGAACAAACGTCACTAAAATCTCAAACTAGATTTCAATGCCACAGAAAATATTTGACATAATTTCTTATACAATGGGGAATAAACATCCTGTAGTAACCAAACTTAATCATGTTCTTTGAATTTCTAAATGACCCAAAGGAAAAAATGGGGAAAAAAAGAAAGAAAAATTCTGAAAATCCACAATTTTTTATTATCATTAATTCTAATAGATCATTTACAGAATAAATCATAATTGTTATTATGACTAAGAATTGATCACAACAACGATAAATGTCCACTCCTAGTTTAGAATACAGATCAGGAAGCAAACATCTGGATTGCCTAGCATCCTGATGACATTTAAATCAGAGGAAAATGTACCTTTAACCTGAGCCTGTTGTAAAGTTATCCACAGCATGCTGTTTTTTTGAGACTAGATTAATGCTGTCTTTAAAATTAAACAGGTGGATTTTCCAGAATTTTATCAAAGGATTTTAGATGAAGAAAATTCTCCTATTTCTGGCTGAAAGAAAATGTAGCCGGTATGAATCCTATTGCAAGACGCTGCGAGGTGACATTTTCATTTGCTGTTTTCCACTCCTGTACCGTGTCCTGCTGTTCAGTTTGTAACCATCCACTGGCAGGCTAGCTGGGGAATACTCCGAGTGCATGGTTTGTGTTTTAATGCGGTAAACTGCGGTCTGATGGAGGCTGTACTGTTGACACAGATGCTTTTCTTGCATGTTTTCATTTCGGTGGTTGAGTTTTAGCAATCAGGCATCAGTATCAGTTTCTTTGTTTAGTCAGCATGACTGCAGTTCTTCTTTCCTGTGGGCTTCATAGTCTTTAAAGAGGTTGATTAGCCTAATCATTTGTAGAGGAATGCTGTGCTTGATTCAGTTGCTAATCTCTTTTGTCTACTTGGTGCATGTCGGTGGGGGTCGCCTAGCTCTTTTGTTGTAGCTACCTATTATGTGCATGTATGTAGCTTTAAATGAACAAGATTAGAAATTCATTTGTTGTGTTTTCAAAGTTAAAATGTACTTTTCTTTGTCTGGGATAAAACTCTGCGCTTTGAAGAAGTCAGTTTCCTGTATGCTTCCAATGTGTCCATGTAAGTGGCCCAACTACAGTTCACTACCTGCTTTTCTGTCATCCCATCACATCATCATCAGTATATATAGTGTTTCATAGTATACACTCTTAAATAATACACAATCCATTCATCTTGATCCATCCATGGCTCTTTATTTAATTGTATGTAAGTCCTAAAAATACAAAAGTCCACGTTTTGATTGTTTTACTCCTGCCTGTGAAACGACCAATGTGTAATTTATCCACTATTTGTCTCATATCCCCCCTTTTGTGGCTGTTGCACAGTTAGCTGTACACTATGACCCCTGTGCGGTCTCTAGGGATGGGCATTATTATAGCGTTTATATTATAACGGGAAAAAAATGTGATATCAAACCATCTTATTGTATATTTCCTGTCTCAGTAAAGGCAAAAAGCAAATGAGAGGTTCTTTAATACATATATTGGCTTAGGTTGAGGATTTACAGAATGGATAAAAACAAAACATTGGGGAAAAAGGGTTTAATAGGAGCAAAGATATGAAGTGAATGATTTTAGTATTTGTGCATGACTGAAGCTAAAAGTTCAAGAAGATGGGATTAGTGTTCAGAGCCTCTCTGGATCGGACCCTCACCATCATCTGCAGGGCCTGCATGTCTGATATATAGCAGCTGGAATCTGTAGCGGAGATTCACTTGTCCACTACTTTACAGAGTGCTCTCTGTTTGCTGAACAGTAGTTCACACTGAGGTGTGTGTATTCAGGATGCGACCTTTATCTGACTTTACATTTCATCCTATCGTCTCTTTACCAGACCTCTAGCTGTTTGACTTCATGTCAGTTCCACTACTTATTAATAATGTTTTCTTGAAGTGTGGATGCACTCTGTTAAAGTATAGTAGTATGAACTGCCGTGGGCCGATCACACGACCTTGAGGGACCCCAGTGATAAATTAGCAATGCTTGGGTATTTTCTCTAAGGGGTAATAACGGTGCTAAACTACAATTGACACACAGGATTCTAGCTTTAGTGTCTTTATGTTCAAATTTGTTTAAACAAGTGTCAATGTTGTGCTGCTTGATGGGTTTAGCAACCTAATTGTTAAGCTTTAAAAGTTCTGTTTACAGGGACTAGACTTCCTTGTCACATTGAGACTAATGTTAGAGTCCAAATTGCCCATCCCTAATGGCTGCAGAGGTTTAATGTGCTACGTGTTTATTTATCCATTTCTAGATTCTAACATTGCTGTCCACGCTTGCCGATTAAAATCATCCCTTTTTTACCACAAAGAAATCTATATACTTTGATAAGTGTTTAATGAATATGTTTTTGTTTGTATGTATTCTGGATGTAAACTAAAAGATATCATATAGTTCAATATTTTAGATGATAAAGCAGCAAAAACAATCATTTTAACTTGCTGATTGTAATATGAAACCACCATAAGGAGATAGTGTCCCTGTTGACCCTAAACCCGACTCCTGTGACTAGCTGAGATGTTTGTGGTCGTTCTGTGTTGCTGAAGTGTTACAGAAAGTCACGGTTTCTCCGCAGCGCAGAGTTTTAGTCAGATATCACAGCACTAAAGGGCAGAAAGGCTGAGTTGTGTGTGAGGAAGCAGTGCAGCTCTGCATGCAAACTGATTGTTGTGTTGTTTGGCATCAGTGAAAAGGAAGTGTCATCATCACTGCATGGATGTTTGTGGAGGAAATGGATGGGAAGTAGTTGTGAGAGCGGTTCTGCATGTCTGACCCTGCAGACTCCAAACACCTGAATGGAGCACAGTTTTAAGCCCACTTCGGCCCAGTTTTCCAGTTAAGCTTTCCTGGTGCTATTTTTAAATTAATCAAACCAATCGAACTTGAATTAGCTTTTTTATTATTGTTTCTCAAAGCTTAAGGCTTTGAGAAAGAAGGGAGCTCCCTCCCATCTACATTTTAGAATCAGACCAATCTAAAAATATTTGTTATTTAGCTATTTCTAGGTTCTAACATTGCTGTCCACGCTTGCCGATTGATGCAATATTTTTCTCCTTGCATGATTCTCCCCTGGAATGACAAATGGCTGAAGTGTTAGCTTATCTCTGTGTTCTTTGTATGTGTGTAAAATTGCAGAAAAGGTTGAAGAAAATGGAGAAAGAAT